GAGGGAGGATTAAGGATACAGATCACAATTTTTTTCAGGAAGAGCACACCAAGTTCAGGACAGGATGAAAAGTGGAGCAAAAACTTGCCAGAAAAGCCAGAAAGCAAAGAAATTAGAATTATGTTATTTCATCATCTGGCAATAGTATTCTCTGCTACCTCAGAATAACAATTTTCACCAATCTACAGGCCTGTGGCTCTGGGCTCACAAAACAGCAAAACATTATCTCACACCCTGATTTATATGACGCTTTTTAAGAGGCATCTGAAAATGTCAGGAAAAGCATTACACGTTAAGCAGTCTGGAAACAGCAGTACAGAGAAACTAAAGAAAGTCCTGAGGTGAGCAAGAACATCTATGGGATTGCTTGCAACATACTCTTAATGCTACACGATTCACATTTAGAGGGCTTACATGACACAGATTCTGTCCTTTCCGCATATCTCTTACGATACCTTGCCTGGTCGGAATTCCGGGAAGAGCTCTGTAACACTTGGCAACTGTTTGGTAGCATCTCGCTGCATGATTCCTGCAAGAGGAAGTGTGAGTTTGCCTTCCTTGGATTCTGCCTGCCTGGCTTCTTGAGGTCCCATCTCTGACTCAGAATCAGAGCTGCTGCTGAAATCCACCTTGTCGGAGGCAGCAGAGGAAGGAGCAATGATGGAGGGCAAAATGATACCGTCTCCATCTTCAGATACTACAATAGAACAAGCACCTTATAAACAAACAGGTTTCCTCCCTGTCCCCTAGTACAACCCCATAACGCCACATCCGATATTTATACCAAATTATGCAAAAATTAAGCCTCTGCAGGTGTTATGAGTACCATTCTGGTTTAACCTTTCATTTTATCCTAAGCGTTCCAGGTGAATTTCCCAGCCACAACTGAGAGGATGAGATAAAAAAGCAATTTCATCGTCAATATCAGGATTTTAACAAGCACTGGAAAGAAAATAATTCACCCTACATTTCAGACAGTCCTACGACATGGCGTATCTGGACAGAGACCCACCTTCAGGTGCAGCCCGCAGACAGAACGGTGCCGAGGCGTGGTGCTTGCCGCAGAAGGAACTGCCACACAGCAGCGTCTGCTTCCTTCAGACATTCACATTGGGAGAGAGAAGAAGAAGAAAGTCCTCACTCACCGGGGCCAGCTGCATCCTTCTCATCTTCTTTCTTTCCAGGTACTGGCGGTGGCGGCGGCGGCGGCATCAACTTGGAATCAATGTCCTCACAGTCGGCGTCGTAATCATCCTCATCTTCATCTAAGGAGTCAGGAGAGGAGCCCGCGTGTCAGGCAGGCAGCAGGAGGGAGCCTGAGGGGCACTCTTCCCATTTATACTCTCTCCTGCCTGTCCCAGCCTGATGAGAAGACCGTGTCTTCTCATTAGTGAGGAGACCAGTCCCCATTTTGTAACTAGATACAAAAGTCTTACAAGTTCAGCTCCCTCCATAAACTCATTTGCAAGACTGAAATTTAAGGAACAGCGAGGAGGGAAAAAGGCAAACTGGCAGGAAAATAACTGGAGCACTTAAAAAAAAAAATCACATATGTATGTATCTTCTGCTCTCACCTCCCCTTACTCACACTGTGCAGAGCAAAGAAAACTGCTAAAGAAGTAAGAAAAATGCGGTTAAAAAGCCCAAATCACCTTTAAATCCCACTAACTGCAACAGGTCAACAGAAAGGTTAGTGTAAGGCAGCTTTAAGGAATACACAAAGATTTAGCATTTGCACTGGCAGCTGATGAAAAGGAAAAGCCATGTGGCTTTGCAAACCTGTTGTAGGCCAGAGCTCACTGGGGCTGACAAAAGAACCAAAGTGACTTCTGCAGAAAGTCACTTCAGAAAAAGAACTCAAGGGTAAAACAGGAGAGCGACATTAAGGCTGAAGTGACTCCCTAAGGGACCAAGACCTTATCTCTATCTTTGGGTCTGTCCAAGCAGCACCTGGCTTCCTGCAGAGCCCTCTGCTCCTGAGGACGTAGCTCAAAGACATATGAGCAGCTATTGGGTATTCTCTGCAGGGGATCCCACAGCAAAAGGCAGATCCTGGTTTCTCTCCTGAGTACAGTTTAACTCCAATGAGGAACTAATTCCTTAGAAACAGAAGATATCAAGCAGTGGCTTCATCCAGCCAACACAGTTTCACAAAACAGTATTGGGTTCTTGATGCAAGGAGTGAAAAGGCACAATGTCACCCATTGTGTTAAGAGACTGTCAAGGCCCATTGCCCCAAAATACCTTCTACAGCCAGAGCTGCAGCGCTCACCCCACTGACCTGGTCTCCGAGCTGGCTGCAGGCTGCCCATCGCCTGCTTGTACCGACGGCTCTCATCTTCTGCCACTTCATTAATATCTGAATAATCAACAGCATCGTCCGTGCTCTTAACCCAGCCTAGGAAGAAAAGAAATCTAGTCACACAAAACTTTATCTTAATACACATTACTAACTTCAGGCTTCGCTACACACATATGGATCCTTTCCTCAGCTTCTTTTTCTTAAGAGAAACAAAACCATCTGATGAACATCTCCCACTGGAGTATTCCTCCCCTCGTTCCAACCAAAAGCTTCCAAGAACTCGGACTTCCACTAAAAATTGGTTAAGTAAGCAACTCCAGCACGAGAAACACCTTTCAGTCACTCAGTGAAACTGTTCAATCAACAAACTAAGAAGTAAAAAAAAAAAGGTAAAAAAAAGGACATAGTAATACTGTGCACTTGTTTAACACAGCGGAAAAGACAAAATAAAGATTTATGCAGGAGGAGAGACAAAAAAAATGGTAGAGAACAAGTGTGAGAGCAACCAGGAGAGGCCACACCTGGAGTGTTGTGTCCAGTTTTGGGCACCTCAATACAAGAGAGATCTCGAGGTGCTGGAGCGAGTGCAGAGGAGGGCAACGAAGCTGGTGAAGGGGCTGGAAAACAAATCGCATGAGGAGCAGCTGAGGGAGTTGGGGCTGTTTAGTGTGAGGAAGAGGAGGCTGAGGGGAGACCTCATCACTCTCTGCAACTACTTGAAAGGACACTGTAGAGAGGTTGGTGCTGGTCTCTTCTCACAGGTAATTAGTGACAGAACGAGAGGGAACGGCTTCAAGCTCCAACAGGGGAGGTTTAGACTGAACATTAGGAAGGAATTTTTCACCGAAAGAGTGGTCGGGCATTGGAACAGGCTGCCCAGGGAGGGGGTGGAGTCCCCATCCCTGGCTGTGTTTAAGGGCCGTTTAGAAGCAGTGCTGAGGGACATGGTGTAGGGGAGGACTTTGTAGAGTAGGGGAGATGGTTGGACTCGATGATCCCAAGGGTCTCTTCCAACCTCAATGATTCTATGATGGGATCTGCTCTGGGAAGGAGGAGGAGACAAGGCCTTTGGCAGAGGAGCTCTGCCCAGGTAACACCAGGATATTCCCTGCGGCCCCCGATGACCCGTGTCCGTTCCTTCCTCTCCCACCCCCCGGCCGGAGCCGCAGGAACCCCCCGGTGCCTCACCTTCCTCGTCCAGGTGCACCCCGTCGGCCTCAAGGCTCTCCTCCTCGCTGGCGGTGATCTCGGTGATGAGGCTGCCCAGGCCCAGCACACCCAACCCGGCCAGGTGCTTCTTGGATTCCTGGGAACACCGGAGGCACGTCCCAGCCGGGGGGCTGTGTGGGGCCGAGCCCCCGGCCCGCAGCCTGCCCCCCCGCCGGCGCCTTCCCGCGCCCACACAGCCCTACCTTGTCGAGGACGCTGTCCCCCTCCAGCTGCCCCGCCTCGTTGATGTTACCGAAGAGGAATCCGGCCAGCGAGAAGGGCTCGGCGCGCCCGCCCTCCGCCTCCTCATCGCTCTCCGAGTCCGACATCGCGGCGGCGGTGGCGACGGCGGCGCTAACCCGGAAGCGGAAGCGTGGCACTAGCCCCAACCCGGAAGCGGAGGCCAGCCGGCGGTAGGGGCAGCTCCGCCAACAGCGCCCCCTGGCGGCCCCGCCCCCAAGGAAGCGCGGGAGGCTCCGGCCTTCACCCAAAAGTCGTTTTATTGCGGGTAAGAAAGGGGTGGGGGAGCGTCTGGCTTTCCACAGGAAAGAACTACGGTTAGAAGGAGTGCGTTACAGACCGCGGGGCGAGTTAATACGAGAGCCAAAGCCACGAGGAAAGGTTTATTACGACTTAAGTCCGCATAATTTAAAAAGAAAAAAAAAAAACCACAAAAGAACTGTTAGCCACAATACAAATTCTCTTATAGTATAAAATCAAGTTGCCAGTGTATGTATCAGTACCACAGGGAAGAGGCAGGAGCCGGGACCCCCCGCCCGTAGGGTCTCACCCACAGCCCTAAACTGGAGAAGGCACGTTCAGCTTTGGACACAGAACCCCCAAACTGCTCAGCTCCCCACCCATGGCTTCAGGGACATTAAAAAAAAAAAAAAAAAAAAAAAAGAAAAATGTAAGTATTTCAGAAATCACCGCAATCATTCGCAAGGCGACAGATGACCACCAGTCTGTTCCTGGAGGGCTCTGCGGTGAATTGGGACACGGGTGCCAGGTTTCCACGGGGTCACAAGCAGAGGGATGTGGAACACACCTCAGGAAACCCTGAAATGGCTTCAGCCTGGGTTCTCTGGCCTCCCAAAACCAGACAAAAGGCAGCCCCTGGCATTGGGAGAAGTCTGTATTTGTTACCTGCCCACGGAAATAAAAACAAACCCAAGCAGATGTGTGGGAGGAAGGGAAGGGACTGCGACTGCAGCACTGGATTTACCTACGGTAAAACGCACCCAGAACCCTACTTGAGGGGTGGGGAAGGAGGGACCATCACACACTGAGAACGCCCACCAAAGGGAAAAGCTTGTAGGGCCCGTGCGCTCCCGAAGCTCGCTCCCATGAAAAGCAGAGGCTGGAGGACACCAGCTCCTGGCCCCTCAATGACCACCCGTGAGGCACTCCAGAGCCACTCCGAAGTTTCTGACAGTGTTCAGAGTTCACTTTCTGCTCACTTTCATCATTATCACATTGTTCTCCTCAGTACTGCTGCGCAATCCATTTATTGAGCAATCTAGATAGGGATAAAGTGTTCTAGTATAATGTAATCAATTCGAATAAATTGATTAAGTGGTTGAATTTTATCTTGCCATACTCTCCTCCAGTTAACACCAGGATGGCTGCTCTGTGTGAGCCTACACAAACGGGGTGGGGGGTGTGCAATAATACTCCCTCACAGGATTTCTTCTCCCCAAAATTATTGTAATCCAGTTAGGAATAACCAAAAAAGATGCAGAACTAAAGGATTTCAGTATGTAAAAAAGTAAAAACTTTTAAAAACAGTAGTAGCTCCAGTACAAAATTGCAAATATATGTAGAAAAAAAAAAGAGGTGCCTGTTGTTGAAATTAAAAGTCTATTTAAGAGCAGTAGAGCAGTTCAAACATATCACAAACTTTTTAAAGTACATCTCTGAGTTAAGCAAAGGTTATGGGCTTGCACCAGGGTAACTAAGCAGTTGATTTAGGCCTGATTGACATTAAAAAAAAAAACCCAACAAACAAACCACCAAACATGTGCACTGGCTTAAATAAATACATTTTAACCATGATAAACTATTTACTCGGTTACTGAAATTTACCTACAGAAAATAATCTGGAATTACAAGGCACGGAGTTAATTGCTGCCTGCAAGTCAAGCCCACGCTAAAGGCCTACTACTAAAGGAAAGGCAGAACACGGTGAGTAGAGGTTACCTCGCTGAAATGCTCCTACACCCTCCCCACGCAGGAGCCACATCTGGAACAGCACTTCTTCTACGAGTGCAAAAGGTGCAAAGACACTCCAGGCAATGGCACTTGGTGAAGAAAAATAGGCAGAGTCTCTAAGCTCCCGCAAACGTCGCGCGTACAGGTGCTCGGGTGTCGCCTGCAATCAGGCCACGTTTGGAACTGGGTGTTGGTCCCACTAGCCACACAGACCAGTATTTGGACTAACTGCAGCTTTATCGTCTACGGGTTGCAATTTTGCTAAAGCAGCACCAGGACGGGCAATACCTCAGGTTTACAAAAATGGCAGTTAGTGTCGGCATCAGTTACACCGGCTGAAGGAAGACACGTCCTCTTCAAAGAGGGGAATCAGGGCACGAATGTGAAGGTTTCTATCCACCATATCAGATAAAGCAAGGTTAAATTAACACAAGATCCCTAATAACCCTGTTGATATATTTTCTATTATCTTGCTAAAATTATATTCTTTTCTGCCCAGTGCAGTTTTGCATGCGTGGGAATCACAAGAAAGCAAGTTCTGAATTAACCAGTTGGAGGCTGCGTCCGGACAAAGACAGCACTGTCAGCTTCAGACAACAAAGCCCAGTCCAGCACCATTGGTTTCACACAAAGTTATCTTTGAAGCACGCTGCTTTCATACCACCGAGCACTAAGGTTAAGTCTAAGGAAGGTTTCATGCGCTCACTCCTCAGCTGGTCCCAGAATCACACATAAAGAACAGTCCACATCCTGAAAATAAAAGCCAGCTGCCGCTCGCTAGAGCTGCTAGAGAAAGTTAAAAAAAATATGTAAGTAGAACTTCAGTTAAAACAGTTTAGAATAACTGATCACTTAGTAGAGAGGAGAAAACTGCCCAGGTAAACCTATCGCGACTGGCTAACCATTACACATTTAACTGAAACCATCAGTGAGTTGCCAGGAAGAAATGAGGGTTCGGGGTTCCTGTAAATAGAACCTCCAAATTTTCTGTCAGTGTTCTCCCAGAAAAACAACAGAAGAATTTGCCATAAAAATCTCAGGTGGTGGCCCCAAGAACATTAAGAAGTGAAGCAATTAATTCCTCAAAAGCAAATGGGCTGCTATCAAGTCTCTGAGATTCATCAAAAGGATCACACTGAAAATCTTGTTTTGAGAAGTGTCATCCCAACTACCTCAGTCAGTCCAAGAAGGTAACTGTTAACTTTACTCTTTGGAGAGTGAAATAAAAACTCAGTTTAGAAGATTATGGAGAACTTGCATCTAAACTACTCTTCCACCTCTCCAGTTCTACAGTATGAAAATCACTCATTTGAGAAATTCATCATTATCCTAAGTTCCTTACATTAGGAGAAGCTCCTGCTTCTATTACTAAAATCATTGCAGGCATTCCCTGGGTCTTGCTCATTGCATTAAACATGCCTTACGCTAAATCTTCATATAAACGATCACAGTTCACTATAAGGTGAATCTCAGTAATGTTTCAGGCATTTTTGCATGTAAACAAATCATTTTCAAGCTTCAAATTGACAAATTAAAACAGCTGGACAGCCAGACTTCTGTTTGTGAAACAATTCAATCAGTAAATAAGGGATGGGAAAAGCAGCAGCTACGCTTAAAGCAAAGTTATCAGAATTTGTGCTTTTCGTCAAATCCAGTAACTGATGGCTATCTAGTAAAGAAGTCTGGCTTCAAAGAAGTCCCTTCTTTTATTTCCCTCCACTAGATAAGGACAGAAGCCAAGCAATCCCCAGAGAAGCTGGAGACTGGAACTTTAGAAATAAAGTAGATAGATATTTGACCTCTCAGTTGGAAAAAAAATATCTGTTTCCATTTCCCTGAAGCAATAAGACTGCAAGAATATTCGTTGCATAAACCCTTTCTGCTTAGAGCTGTTAGTGCAAGATGCAAATCTTCAATTTAACTCATTAAAAAGCCCTCCAAGATTCCAGTCAATATTCAACGTCGAACATCCATCACCCGAAGCAACTACAAGAGGACACATTTTCGCGTGTTCTTCTTTGTCACAGGATACAGAACTGCACGCACAGCCTCAGCAAACACCTCCCGAACACCCTCCTGATTCAACGCCGAGCACTCCAAATATTTGACTGCTCCAATTTGTTTAGCCAGTGAAGTCCCCTGCTGCGGCGTAGTGGGAGCCAAGCTTTGCTCTTTCAACTTTTTAACTGTTTCCAGGTCACTTCTCAAGTCTCTCTTCGTGCCCACTAAAAGAATGGGAACATTTGGACAGTGGTGAGAAACTTCAGGATGCCATTTGTGCCTCACATTTGCATAGGAAGAGGGGCTACCGATGGAGAAACAGATGACAAATACATTGGTTTGAGGATAGGAGAGCGTGCGCAGGCGGTCATATTCCTCCTGGCCTGCAGTGTCCCAGAGATTTAGGCTAACTGTCCGGCCATCAACAGTCATTTGGGCACTGTAGTTGTCAAACACAGTAGGGATGTACTCCTCTGGGAAGGCGTTGGTGGTATAGCTGATGAGAAGACAAGTTTTGCCCACAGCGCCATCTCCAACAACTACGCACTTTATGGTCTGCATCCTTCACTCAGAAACAAAGTCCAACAACTACGCACTTTATGGTCTGCATTCTTCACCCAGAAACAAAGTCCTGCACAAAGCAAGAAAAAAAAAATTAGGATAAAATAACTCTCATTGAGTGTTCTTTAAGATAAGCTTTAGCAAGAGTTTTTAATATTGCTAACCATTTCTCGGAAAAAAAAAAATTAGGAAAAGAACACTCAATGAGAGTTATTTTAAAGATAAGCTTTAGCAAGTGTTTTTAATATTGCTAACCATTTCTTATCACAGCTAGACACGCTCAGAACCCATTATGAAGAGCTCACAGGCTGGAAAGAGAGTAGTGAAATGGAGATGAGTTGAGAGCTCAGTGACAACTGGTTGCATTCCAGCCACGGAAGCACAAGTTAGCCAAATTCCCAGAGTCTTGCCTTAAGGCCAGACAGTTTCCCACAGGCGAAGGCACGAGTCCTTAGAGGCACCTGCAAGTGGAAAGGGGTCTCCACCTCAGGCCTAGGAACGAGATACTCCGTCAGTTGTACATTCACACACACACACACCATCCAAGATTCACCTTTCTTGTCTACATAGTCTACTGCCTAAACAATTCACCACAAAAAAAGGTCCAAAAACTATACAATAAACCAAGATACACATTACTGGGCTGCAGTGTTACTGTTTATTACAGTAATTTGCTCAAGTCAGGATCAATCAGACCTCAAGAAACCTCATTATGTAGAGGACATCAGATAAAAGGTTCGGAAAATAGCACCTACAAGAAAAGCTATTCTTTGAAATATAACTAGCCATAGTATCCAGATTAGAATACAGAAAGAATTTTCTACAGAAGCCAAGAACAGATTATTCTCACTAATCAGTGACGGAACAAGCAGATCTTAATAGGCTTCAGCTACAACACAGCTTACACCAAGAATTAGAAAAATACATGCTGTAGAATATCAGCAATCAAACGGCCTTCCGAGGCAGATGGGGGAATTCTTACAGGAGGAATTTGACACTTCAAGGCTTCCCTGTCCCTTTCCAGATACGTGATAAATCAAATGGATGTAGCCTAAAACTCAACTAATTCTTAACTTCCATCACATGAACAGCAGGAGCTTTGAAAATAGCATGGAACAACTATAAGCAGTCATTTGTTTTATGTTTATCGTATGCCAGAGCTTCCACTGCTAGCCTGAACAAGAAGGAACTTGCAGTTGCCTTCTCACCCAAATGCCTTTGAGGTACTATCAGTAACCCTCAACTTGCAACCAGCAGCAAATACGCTGATTCAAATAGAAGAAACAAATAGTGGGAGGAACGATATTGCATATTCCAGGAAGATCACAGCTCTAACACCATCAAAATAGCAAAGGGAACACAGGAAAACTATCAATAGTGAAGTACTTCCAAAACTCATGAAACCCCCTCCCTCCAACTTCCTCTTCAAGACCATCCAAACAAATCAACAACTTATTACCACTGAAGTCTCATCTTTGACAAAGTTTTTATCTGTATCCACGAACTGCTCTCTTCCCACTGGGAGCACACAACAACTTTTCTGTACTAAGTGAAAATGCACTACGTTAAGCTTTGGCACCAAGCTGCAACAGGCAACCTGAGTGGTATCGACTGCGGCAACTACAACGCACAGTGTTAAGGGAATATCAACCTATGTGCACGGGCAGTATTGAAAACCCGCGAGCGGTAGGAAGCCACGCAGAAACCCTGCTCTAGAAAGACCCCAGCAGGACATTGGAGGGGAAGAATATGGAGGAAAACATGCAGGAGGAAGATGCAGAATTTGGATGGAGTTTATACTGTCTCCAAAAGGCAGGAATTACATTTCTAAAACAACAGGCATCATCTGAAATGAAATCTGGCAAGAAAATCTTGGCAGAAAAGCATACATGTGAGTTTCATCATACACCAAAAAAAAAAACCCCAAAAAACCCCCAGTCATCCCTTCTCAAGGCTCCAAACAAAGGTAGAGATGGGTATGCAGCACAATAAAGGTAATCAGTGAACAACAGAAGCCGACAGCGGGACTGCAGGTTTTATTCCAGAACAGTTGCACCAAGATTTTCATTTAACAGGGCCGGGGGTGGAAGGAAGAAAAAGAAAAGATATAGGCAAACTCTGTCAAATTAGAGGCTTAGAAACACTTCTTGCACTTTGCAAACCCCAAAGTCGAAACCCCTTTTAAATGAAAATTACTTAAAGCATTAAAAATTGAACATTTTTAGCATTATATTATTAATAGAGGTTGAACACTGTTACACAGCATACAGCATAACAGTTCTGAAGACAAAGGGTCTAAGTGCTACAATCAAACAGTGACAGAAAAGTGGCTGTATTTTAATGCCGTCACACTGTTCTACCTGAAGATGCAACCACAACCCATCATCCTCCTCTCTACTGCTGCTCTCCCCAGAGGGCAGATCGCTGCCTGCCCCACGCTCTCTCCAGCAGCGAGGCTGCCTTCAGATGTTCCAAACCCTGCTTCCTCACACACAGCCAGGCAGCCGAGCAGGTCACCTCCTCAGCTGGGACCACACACTGACAAAGGGTGAGGGGTTGCTCTGCCCAGTTGACTGGGTAGTACCACAACCAACTGCGCAGCGGTGGCGTTTGGTGGGAAGGACTCACGGGGGAGGAACGGCGCAGGGATCTGCCAAAGTCTCAGAGAGCAGGTTTTAAACCTTATTCCTGCATTTACTTCAAACCACTGAAGTGCTAGAAGATGCTGTGCCAGAAACCTTAGCGGTGACCAACAATTCCAAAGCAAAAGTTTTGGCATATTTTTTTTTTTCCTCTACCTATGCAACAGGCCACTATTTGGGCCAGCCAATAACAAGCGACATCACACAGATGGCAGAACTAAGTCAGTTGGGATACATGCAGTAAAAACTCAACTACAGCAGCAAAAGCCTTATGGAGAACACGATACACACGGCCTTTTATATGCTCAGTTCCTAGCTGCTAAAATAAACAAATTGGAAAGACTCGGGAACAGATCTCTCTTTAAAACACAAACCACGAGCTCCCCCAAGGGCTTACACCTTGATGCATTTCTGTCCAGAGCTTTTCACAGAAAGACAGAGCATCCCAGAATCGCATGCCTGCCTGCACACACACCAGGCACTGATACCTGGGGGTCACCACACCGATACCCTAAGACAACAGAGGCAGTCTCATATATTGGTAAACTATAAAACCACACGTATCCCATACCATCCACAGCTAAAATAGCTTGATGCAGCCTGATTTAAAATTTCTAATGAAAGCATTACCCAAAGATTATTTTCTTGAGGCTTTATTTAAGAGCTCATTAGAGCTTTCAAATTAGAGAACAGTAGTAAGATAACAAAAAAGCCTGGAGCACGAATACTCCTTCACAGCATTAATATCTTGAATTACCCGACTAGGGCTTGGATTTTAGAAGAGCAACATTTGCAATGGGAAGTAACTCCATGCAAACATGGCAAAGCATCAGCCTAAGTATGAACCACACAAATACAATTAAAGAGTTTGTAGGCTTTTAAGTATGCTTCCCTGCAGGGCTCCTTTAAAGTAGGTTGCCTTATCTGAAAGGAATCACATGTGGCATATGAAATACAGAAAAACAAAGGTACAGCAGGATATATATGATTTAGTATTGAAACACAAAATTTAGAGACATTAAAAAGTAGAAAGAAGCCCCTACACTCCAAAAACCTGTATGTTGTGAGCAGGTGTAATTTGATTAAAGATTTACATAGAAGACAAAGGTTTCTTTAATTTAAGCCACAACCAAGGAAACAATATTACCCCCATCAGGTCTTTTCTATTCAATCCACACATCATTTCGTTCAAAATGTATAAAGTCTCTATTTGTTTTTTTCTTGTAAACCATTTGCCTAGCAATAAAACTCTCATAAAATAGCAAGAAGCTGGGGTTCAAATTTGCATGGAAAATTCTTTTTATTTCTCAAGCACCCTTGAACTTGGCACTGCATGCTACTTGAATATAAATATGTACTGGGGGAAAAAAAAAAACATACTCCACAAAAAAAATTACCAACAAACATTACCAAGAGCAGGAAATCGGTTCAGGGTTTGTTGGGTTTTGGTCTTTTTTTTTATGAGCTTCAAAAGAATTTTTGGGGAAAACTTTAGAGAGAAAAACTCCAAATACAACAGGTAACACAAACTGAAAAAGAGGAATACAGATTAACACACCAACACATCAAAAACAAGACTTAGAATTTAGAAACAGAAAGCTCAGCACAAGCTTCAAAGCCAAGTTTAAAGGTTACTCGGCAAGAGAAAGGAGTGAACAGAAAGTCCAAAGTAGTGAGAGGTGATTCAGGTTGCTTAGTCCTGCCACAGAAAGGACTTTTGTTACAATTAAGGTGGAAGATCACCAGAACACAAAGAGTTGTAGTAGTTACAGCAGAATGGGATTAATTTTCAAAGGATAAAAAAAAAAAAAAAAAAACAACACCCAAACCCAACCACCCCAGTAAGAAGCATTGTGCAAAAATAGACAAGACAGAAACAACTCTCTGTGTAGCAGGGCCTTTGAATTAGAAAGCTGGCATTCCTATTTGGGTTCATTTCCTTCTGGGAAGATGCTGCGAAGTCTGCCTTCGCTGCCTGCACACCTGGCACTTTCTCTGGAATGCACAAGATTTCAATTGACGTGTCGAGACATTGTCTGGAGAGCTGCTCCTGTTCTGACCTAATTACATATTTTCTGGTATCATTAACACAGACAGCTTGCTCTCCTGTAGCCCGGCCGGACGTTTGCTGGGGAAATTCACTACTGGGATTCCACTACCCATCTCCACAAAGCTGTCATAAGTGAAATCACAGACTAACTTCATGTTGCATCAAAAATTTTTATAGGAGAGAAAAAAACTTCTAGATCTTCCCTTTAATACTTCTGAAGGAAACTTCCCTGTGTGTTGAGAGAAGGAAGAAAACAGTGACAGAAAACAGAAAGGAAACACAAAGCTGAATTCTTCGGGGGCTTTCTAGTCGTATGCTTTTTATGGTTCCTGCACTTCAAAAAATTCTTGGCAGAGGAACTACTTTCTTAGCAGGATATGTCTCTGCCCTTGCTACGTTAACACCAGATACCTCTTCATTAGGTCAATTTTAGCTCTTAGCTTCACGGTGTTTGTCAGGTCCTTCATATCTTGCTTTCCAGTTTGGATAGGGCCCCATTTTGGCCAAAAGTGAACAGAAAACGCACGAGGAGTTCAAGCAAAACCACCTGTACTGAGCTCCCGTCATTCTGTTCGGTCACCACCTTTGATCAATCCCTCCCTGTTTTGCAGGCTCAGAAGTTTGACGCTGCTTTATCAGGAGCAAGTAGAAGCAGAAGTTAAGAAATCTAAACGACTTAATTGCTCATCTCTCAGTAACAAAAACTACATCAGAGATGATTCACTCTGCCTGATACATGAAGTCAGGCGGAAACTTTCAACAATGAATGGGGTAGATAAGGCAGTTCAAAGTATATCCTACCACCCTCGCCCATGCAAAGGAGTTAAAAGATTTTTTTCATGTGTGCAGCTTAGCCACCAGACCTGAGAGGGAAGAGAAGGGGGCTCTCAGCGATTTAATCAAGACTGTGTTACCACAACAGCTCAGCTTACTTGCCATTGTTTTAGACAAGCCCCAAACAAATGGACAAGTGCCAGACCTTCAGAATGCATGCCAAGAAAGAGTAAAAAAAGTTAAATAGGAGATCTCATCCCTAATACCCTTCAGCAATGAATGACCTACTTGGACTTCTCGGTGCCTTTCAAAGTTTTCACACTTCTTTCTGTCCTGCCATTTACCTGCAAGAGAAACAAAACACAGAGCAACAGCCTGAGTGGCAGCACAGGGGGAAAACAATAAACAAGTAAGCCAGGTTTCAGCAGCACAGCAGGAACTGTGCAGTCCACGAGCCAGAGCCTCACGTGAACAGAAGAATACAGGAAGCTCACTTTCTGCAGAGCTCTGCCCGTAGGTTGAGCTCCCGTGCACATACTACTGATGCCTAATGAGAGTGCAATTCTCACTGGTTCTTCCCTCGGTGCAGATGCTAGAAAGGACTTAATCTCTTTTGGCGCAAAAATGACATTAAAAACCTCACCCCTAAACCTTTATATAAAGTTATTAAAACCTCTGTCAAATCAGGCTGAAATTGGTTAATCAATTTAAAGATTAATTTTTTTGCAGGAATGAAACATACATAAGCTTTACCACGTTAGCAGAATTTCTTAGGACCCACAGTGAAAACGAAGCGGTCCACATTAGGTATTTGGCCACCTCAACCACATAAACCTCAGTGCATCGACGTTCTTACTATAGGCACTCACACTCCAAATTTTATAGGAAAGTAACGATATTAGTGACCAAACTTTAATGATATTAAATTCCATTAATCCAAGATTATGTTTAGTGGATAATAAATATTTCCAAAGGGCATTAGAAACAAGCTTGTGAAACAGCTGCGCAGCTGTGAAATAACATTACACCGAGGTGCAGCTGCAGTCACACAGGAACTAAAAACTAGGACTTCAGCAGATACGTTTCACATTCATATACTGGGAATTTAGTTATCCTGCCATAATCAAAAACTGCTGTGTATTAAACTTGACTTTCCTCCTGCAACCACGTGCAGAAGCATGGATTGATCAAGACGGCTGCCCTTCCCAATTTACTTGAACACAAGCAACCCTGACGTACTTTGAGGGCGAGCACAATGAAGGTGTAAGAGCAGGAGCTGGGACTGCAGGGTTCTGTGCCCAGATCCACTACACACCTCCTGGGTGATACAAGCAACTTGCAGAGGTCCTGGATATCACAGTCAGTTCATAAGGAATTAATAACATGTGTCCTTCCTACCTTTTATAGATTCTGGCAAGGCCTGTTGGTTAAAAGGAAAAGAGAAAGTACCTCAGACATGAAGTTCTGTGAAGAGGCACAGTAGGCACATTCCAGGATGAATGATAAATCCAGTTAAAGCATCCCTGATTCCTATTTGAGGTGGAAAAAAAAAAAACAAACTGTTAGTCTATTTTCCTATCATCTTTTGTCACCTGGCATTCACTGGCACTCTAAACGCTCCCTATTTTTAAGAAAATTTGTAACAAAGCCACTCTTGTATGTGAAGGGTAATGTGCATATCAGGAAAATCTAAGCTTTTTCCTTAATAAAAAAGCCCACACACGCTTTTCATTCCCTTTGATTTCCCCTCCTCCGCCCCCAAATTTCACTGGAGGGTTAAAAAAAAACAACACACAACACAAAACAAACCAACCAACCACCAAACAAAAAATACACTTGGTCAATCAGTAACAGTTTTCAAAAGTGTCTTTAAATAGTTTTGATATGATCAAAGCACAAGTTAAAGCATGCACTCAGTGTGTACAGCATCATGGCTCGTGCGCTACAATATCACAGTGCTTGCCAGTCACATTTGCATCAATTCTTGCAGTTCTAAAAAGTGAGTAGTCTCTCAGCAGTCTATCAGATTCACAGGGAAAGGAAAGGAAAAGGGAAAATAATATATATAGATTCCTTCTAAAGGTATAGATTTTTACATGATACCAAATCACGTGAGAACACTTTGGACTCCAAAAGAATCACAGCCTCATCATGTCAGTAAGTCAAACTGCATATTCAGTCTCCTCCTCCTAACTGCAAACCTCATATTTCATTCTTTTTCCAAGATCTCTGTAAAGTTCCTTCCAAGAAGGATATTTTAAAGCATTTTTTAAAATGAAAACAGTAAGCTAAAATGCCAAGTATATCTCATAAGCTCAAGTTCCCTATAGAAAAACTCGTGTGTAGCTGAACACTGGAAAACCAGCACAGCAGAGCTTCCACGCCATGCATTTTACATTTGACACAGAGGAGAACGGAAGCTTTTTTTAAAATCCAAAAATAAGCTTGGGACAAAGAGCACACAGCTTACGATGCTAGCACTCCAGTGTGGGACACAGGCTGCAAGCACATAGGGCACGCAGAGAACAGAAGCATTTAAATCTTTTTTATAACTCAGAGTAAACATGTTGGGAACAACAAACGTTTACGAGGAGTAAACAGATACCAACTATTTGTTGGTTCTTTCAAAAAAAAACAAAACCAAAAAACACCAAACCACAAAAAACAAAGGGACATCAAATTAAATCAGAAAGAGGGAGGTTAAGAACAAATAAAAGCTAGTACTGCTTCTCTGGGTTTGAGGGGAAGCTCGGAATGCCTCAGTACAGGATGCTATGAGTACTGAAGTGTACTGGACTCAAGAACAGAACCCTGAAGCTTATGAGAGAGAGCTCGGCAGCGGCCGCTCGACGAGACAATACCCGTGACTCCTGAAACCACTCAGAATATTTTAGGTCACTACTTTGCCCCGTTCTTCCCGAGACACCAATCTGGCAGTTTTTAGGGAGCAGATCAAATCCGACTACTCTCACGTACCCCTGCGAGGGAAAAACCCGCTCCCAGCGCTGAAACAAGAGACCTTTCGTAAGGGCAAGCTCATCCCCTGCCAACCTCTCCCCACAGCCGCCGGGAGCAGAGGTCGCCTCCAGTTTGTCACGGTTCTCCTCAGGTGGATTAGCCCCAGCCCAGCCCAGCCGCGGGACGCTGCGGGGAAGGGAAGAGCCGGCTCTGCCCGCGGGGCCGTTCCCGCTTCCCGCACATCCCCGAGCCCAACGCGCCACCAGAGAAAAGCCCCTTCCAAAGCACTCCCCCCCCCTCCGCCCCGGTGAGCGCGTTCACCCCCCCAAACCCCGCCGGGGACCCGCACCCCACCTCCCGCAGCCTGTGGGGAGGAGGAGAACCTCACACCCCGCGTCCGGGGAGGGGGTGGGGGGATCGATTACCCAGCTGCTCCCAAGCTCCCTTCCCTCCTCCGGTGCAGGTGCCGACGAGTCGCGGGCAGCGCCCCAACAGCCTCCCCCGGCAGGAGACCGCCACCGCCGCGGCTCCCAGGCCGGCCAGAGGCCGCCGCCGCCACCCGGGCTGTCAGCGGGGCGGCGGCCGGACACGGAGGATCTTCCTGCCCAGAGCGCCGCCCGCCCGCCGGCAAGGCTGAGGGGAAACACGCGCGGGGAGG